AGCAACCGAGTTTTAGCCAATTAAGTTTACATAGGTCTCCCATAGTGGGACCGGGGAATGTATGGCACGAGATGCCTAGTAAACTTACTTCTGCTTAGAGGTGTGTGTGTGTGGGGGGGGAAGTCCTTTGTAAATCCAGATTAGAACTGGTCTGATAAATGCTGAGCTGGATGTGAGGGTTGATTAGCATTTGGAGCACAGATTCCCCATCATGCAGTGCTCCCCTGCTTCGCTGATCCCAGAATTCACTGCAGTCTCCGCTTCAGGCTTTCTGTTCTCCATCTCTCATGTAAATGAATGGTCATCCGGTCCCATCTCAGATGCAAATGAGACCTAGGGCAGTTGTTTCACTTTTGTCACCCTTATATGGAGGGTTTTAGGTGCATCTCTCACTGCACTTTAATCAGTTTCTGTTTAGGTAGAGGAGGACAGTGGGGAGGAATTCTTTGTGAGTCAGACAGTCTGTGTCCTGTGTTAGGGTTCCCCAAGAACATGGAGCTGAGAGGTAACAGCCAAGAAAGGCTTCATTATGTTCCTCTTGGACTACAGATGGTAGTGGTCAATTCTTAATGGTCAGGTCTTGAGATGGAAACACCATGAGACCAGGGATTATCTGTGTTGGACAGAGAAAAAGCTCAACCATAGTAGATTAGGTCAACCTGGTATTTATTAGCCAACACCAGAAACATAGGACACAGTCCTCTGAGTGGCAACCTCCACCCTTTCAGTTCTGATGTTCTGTCTGTAGTCACTTCATAGTCTAGCTTCAGCAATCCTTTGTTAGGTTGGATCTTTATATCTTCCTTTTACATATGTATTAACTCCTAATTTCCCTTTCAGCTGTCCTTCTGTGAGTACATGCTTACCACCTGATCAAACTGCATTTTCCCAGCTTTTTTGCTGTTTGTATCTTTTTTTCCTCGATAAACGTTTGCTTGCTATTTCTAATAAATGCACAGTCCTACTTGGGCTAAGCTGTCAGAAAGCTTTCAGGTGTTAGTTCACAGCAGGACCTGCTAACTTTTAATTTGCCTTTTTGCACCCAACAAGCTGAAATAAAAAAGTGGTATTACTGTATTAGAGAGACATCACCTAGCAATCAAGTCACATGTTAAGGTTAATGAAGAGCTCTCTTTTTAGGGGACTGGAAGATTATATAACAAGGCATGAGGACACTCTTGACAGGAACTGAAGCTCTACTTTCCTGAACACAAGCAAGCATAAGTAGTATTTTATTCAGGATGACAGAGTGTGCTTACATACCTGTCAGAGACATTGCTTGAACTTGACCAAGTATCTTAAAGCATAGATGACCGGGACCTACCACTCTGGTGAATGCTCATGGGGGGAGCTTGACCAGCTCTATGATAGAGATAGGAAGTGGAAAAATGCACATACTTGCTATAAAGGAGTCACACGGTCACTAAAACACAGCTGCTGTTAAAATAGAGTATGGAAGAGCCTAACAGCGCCCATCAGCAGGAGTCAGCAACTAGGAGAAGGGAACGGAATAATATTTTCCGATCACCTGCCTCAGTTCCTGCAGCCTGGGGCTGTTTAGTACAATGCACAGGTCTTGCTTGAGGAGTGAACCTGTGTAATCATCAACACCTAGAAGGAAACAATTTCATGAGAAAATGCAGAGCCAGGAATACCTTAATATTAAGCTTTGCTCTTGCATTGCTTCCCTCTGTGGCTGTCAGCAAGTTACTTGATGTTTTTGTGCCTCAGTTCCTCACCTGAGAAATGGGTTTAATAACACTAACCTGCCTCAGCAATTAAGCTGTGCAGATTCATGCATCAACATTTATGAGGACTTTTGAAGGTGAAGAGCAATGTAGGCACACCACATCTTACTGCCTGGATTTTTCTTGGAGCTCTCCCACTCCTATACTTACCAGACGACCAGGGGGCTTTACTGACAATATCTGCATTACTGACATGAACTAGCACTTACATAGAATGCTCTGAAGTTGTAAAGCAAATGGAAATGTTTCATTTTATCACTGAATAGCTGACAAGCAAAATCTCTGGAAACTTCTCCAGGTCCCTGACCTCAGCGGGTGAAGCTGCAGTCTGTCTTTGCTCATTGCCTGCACCAGCTCTTTGTGGAGGGAGCTTTAACTTTGGATGCACAGTTAGCAGCCTGTTCTTGCTGTTTCTGCCAGCTCTTTAATCCTAGAATTTCCAAATGGGGAGCATACTTGTTCGGGTTGGGGGCCCAGAAGGTAAAACCGGCTATATATGGGATGATGTCATGGTCTAACAAAGACACCCCTCCCTTTGCAGCTGAGCATTTATGGTGGGGGCTGGTGTTAAATGTAGTCTGACATCATATGGCTCGAATGCTGTTTTTGATCCTGACAAAGGCAGACAGTTCAGTTCATTGCCAGCACTAGGCAAATTATAGGTGAAGCAGAAAAGATCAGAGAGTGTTTATGGTTCCCATCGTACTCATTT